ATAGAGTTTGGAAGTAATTTTCTATACGAAGAAAGCTTGTTGATAAACAAAATTTTGATTGTAATAAAAGAGCATATTTTAAATTGAACAATCTTCAAGTCATTTTTTATAAAAAAAAAATATATTTAATATTGTGGAATATAATAATTCCAAATTGCATGATACAAAAGCCATTGTTGAAAACTAAAGAACTTCTTGTTGGATACTAAGCTAATGCACACAAAATTGCAATATCAAGAAGGCTTAGGCTTATATAAGCCTTTCATAACAAACTAGAGAAAATCAAGCATCCACGTTTTAACAACTCCTATAACATGGAAGACTAACAAATTGCACTAACAATAAACAAAATAGAAATACTAAATTACATTGACCAAAAAAGACACCTTATCCTATCATATCCTCTCCTAAATCTTATTATAGTATAATCAATTTAAGTTAGGAACTTCGCAAACTCTCAATAGCTCTCTCAACTTCACTAATGTATATAGTTTCAGTGGTTTGGTCATGATATCTGTCACTTGATTAACTGAACCACAATGTACGAGCTTCACAATTTCATCATTGTTCATATTACATAAGAAATGGAATTAGACCTTGATATGCTTACTCCGCCCATGGAAGACAGGACTTTTTGAAAGTTTGATAGTAGAACTATTGTCACAAAAGATTGTAACACCTTTGCCATGAGATTGACTAAGCTTATAAAGAATTATTCTTAATCAGATACCTTGAGTAGCGTAATAAGCTGTAACTATATATTTTGCTTTTGTGGTTGACAATGTAACCACCGACTGTTTCTTAGAACTTCAGGCTACAACTCCACCACTTAAAGAGAACACACAATCAAATGTGCTTTTACAGTCCTCCATGTCACTTGCATAATCACTATATGTATAAGCTAGCAACTCTACATCACCTTTTTCGTTTATAAAGGATTCCAAATTTCATTGTTCCCTTTACTTATCGAATAGTTCTTTTCACACTTTGCTTGTGAAGCTCTGTGGGATCAGCCATGAACCTGCTTGCTAAGCATAAGAGTAGTGAAGCTGCAAGAGGAAGAGGTCAAGGTAGATTTTTCAACAAAGCAACCATTGAATGCTTTAATTACTACCGATTGGGACACTTACAATATGAGTGTCCTAACTAGGAGAAGACAGTCCATTATACGAAACTATATGAAGAAGATAAGCAATTATTAATGTCGTATGTTGAAGAAAATAATGCAAAGCAAGATGATATTTGATTCATTGATAGTGGTAGCAACAATCACATGATCGATAATAAAAGAATGGTTTCACAAGATGGATGAGAAATTTTCACATTCAATAAACTTAGAAATGAAACAATAATGACAGTACGTGACAAAGGAGACATCAAACTTGAAGTGCACGGAAGAACACATGTAATAAGTGATGTGTTCTATGTTCCTGAGTTACATAGTAATTTATTGAGTGTTGAGTGTTGGTCAATTAAAAGAGAGGAACATCACTATTTTAATTCAAAATGGAGAATATCGAAATTATGGTTGAGAGAGAGGTCTTATTATATTCACTCTCATGTTGGCAAACATGATGCATGATGTTTTATGTCCTTGCTTCTATTGTGTTGTCACATTTCTTACAAGTAACTTCACAAGAACTTGCTTGTTTCTGGCATTGAAGTAATGGTCATTTGAGTTACAAAGGTCTTAGAATACTACAATATAGAAAGATGGTGAAAGGCTTGCTACAATTTCAACCCTCTATAAAAGTATGCACCGATTGTTTAGTGAAAAAGCATATTAGAGAGTCAATATAAAAAAAAAGTAGTTAAAGAGTTTTTCAACATCTTGAAATAGTACACACAAACTTATGTGAACCAAATTTTCTTATTTGTAATAGCAGAAAAAGGTATCTTCTCATATTTGTTGGATAACGAGCTAATACACACATAATTGTAATGGAAGAGTAATTCATTTTAGATTTAATCCTTTTCGACATCCCTATTTGTGTACGAATGTCTGAGATAGGTCCTCGTTTTCTAAAGTGTATCAAAATGGTCCTTAATTTTGAAAATTGATATCAATTGAGTCCTTCCCGTTAAGTTGGCTGGACGGCGTTAAAAAAATTGATGAGTGGGATGCTGAGATGACGAACGAACGCTCGTCTACCAGCGAACGAACGCTCGTCCACTAGCGAACGAACGCTCGTCCACCACCGAACGAACGCTCGTCGACCTCTTACCGCTGGACGACCGTTCGTTCCACACTGGACGACCGTTCGTTCGGTGGTCGACGAGCGTTCGTTCGCTGGTGGACGAGCGTTCGTTCGCTGGTGGACGAGCGTTCGTTCGTCATCTCAGCATCTCACTCATCAATTTTTTTAACGCCGTCCAGCCAACTTAACGGGAAGGACTCAATTGATCTCAATTTTCAAAATTAAGGACCATTTTGATACACTTTAGAAAACGAGGACCTCTCTGAGATATTCCTACACAAATAGGGACGTCAAAAAGGATTAAACCTTCATTTTATTAATACAAAGAGACTTATATAAGTCTTTCACCATAAACTAGAGAAAATCAACCATTCACAATAACATGGAAGAATAAAAAAATGAAGAATCAGAAGAATACACTACCAAAGAAAAAACAAGAGAGGAGAAATTATTGTTTCTTCCGGCACCTCCATACTTTCTCCCTCCACCACCATAGACCAAAGTGAAAATCTAATTTTGTCTTTATCTTCTTTCCACCATCGTTTTCTTCCTCCATGCATATCTCTCTCCCACTTCTTCTTTGTCGCACCGTCGACATCATTCCTGTCTATTTTAGATTGAATATTTAAAAATATTTTTAAATTGTACATTTTGAAACTCAAAATGAAAAAGAAAATTAAAATTAAAATTTCTAAATATATAAAGGTTCAAAAAGAAACCATCGAGCCGTAGGAAGAAGTGTCCCCAAATATAAAACGCTGTTACCTCGTTACAGGCCCAACTAAACGAGCTTAAGATGTCGCTTTCCAGTTTGCTGTTTTAAACATCAAATTCGAATCTTTTTGTTGTTTTTATATTAAGAAATTGCTTTTGAACTAAAATTCGAGGAAAATTATTTGTCCACATTTGTACATAATAATTGGCTTATACTGGGTGAGAGGGAATCTTCTTCGGTAATATTATTCATTTTATAACCTAAAATTAACTTGTACATTTAATTTTGATTTAGAACAAATATTGTTTTATAATATTTTTTCATATAATTCGTAAAGAAATTTATTTAAACTTGAAACTGGTATTTTAGGGATCTACTTGCTGCAGGAAGCCATTTGGTTCCAGGATTGACAGTTAACAACTACTTCTGACCTTAAGGTCTACTTTAAATTTAAAAGTCAACGTCCTTAAATATTTCAAGCTTATCCAGCCAAAAGATCGTTTTCAATTAAAGATTTTGTGACGGAAACTATTCATCTCAATTTATTAATTACTTTTACAAGTAAAATAACCTTGTAATGGTAGATGCTATTAAATAGGAAAAATCAAATGGAACCTATGGGATAAGTTTTTACTAATTTATCTTATAAATTAGTTTCTAAAGTTAGTTGCTAGTTAATAAACAAATTATTAAATCAGATTATTAAATTAAAAATATTTAGTAAAATTAATTGATTAACTAATTAATTCACATAATATAATATAAAAAAGATATAATGATATAAATTTTATCATAGAAATAAAATTTATATTTCGATTATATAAATGTTTTATATAAGATAATGTAAATAGAATGAAATATTAGTTACTTTAATTTGTAATATTAATTTTTTTAAAATTTAAATTAGATAAAAAATTAATTTAATTTAGTGAATATTAAAATAGTCTAATAGCTAAAATAAATATTTAGCATTAAATAGCTTGGATGTGGAAACATTTATCCTACATTTTTATTTCAAACAGTCTCCATAATATATTACAATACATTAAAAATAATGATTTACCTTACAAAACATCTTTATATTTGATAAATTGGTTTATAAAATAGTATTCAAATAAACTAGTAAAGCCGATCATACTAACGATGGTGTATATAAATAACATGAATTACTTGACCCTTTTATCCATTTTTAAACTATTTATTTTTTGTGTTGCGTATTGAAATTTCTGACATTATACTTCCAACCTCCTCCACTACAACCATAACTCTTATGTCATGCTCCTTAAATACATGTCTGGAAACCATGTGGTGAAGCATTTCATTTCACTTAACCAAGACATCATTTGATCATTTCCCAAACTAACCCAAACAACTCAGTTACAACAAATCAAAATTGCATCAGAAGCCAGATCAGGCCAGTTACCAACGTTCCACTTTTATCAGTCTTTTTCTCCTTTTCTTCTCCGATGACCGTGATTTTAGATTATAGTAAGTTGGAAAGCATAATTCTTTACAACTAAGTTTCAACAAACTCCAGATCAATCTAAACCCAAAAGAAACATCATAAAACATTTCGTATGCAATTAAATCTTCTATTTTGGCGGTGGTAAATATTCTTAAAATGTGTGTAACAAAAAAAAAGCATGTCAATTTCAAAAGAACAGGAACAAAGGCCTTAAAAGGGAAGCACAGCAGAAAATTCTTTGTTTATGTTGGTCTGAGATCAAGTGTCAGTTGTTAACTTTGTTTTGCTTTTGGCCAAGATCTATCTTAGCATGGAAGAACCAAAGCAATAACAAAATTTATACATTTCAAATTTTAAAAATAGTTAATTATTAACAAAATGTGTTAATAATGTGATTATTTTTCATCATTTAACACCTCCTTTTTCTTTAAAAACCCCTTGACAAACCCCTTTAATACTAAAATAAATTTTGAATAGTTGTATAAAATATAGAAATTGAGAAAGTTATCATGTTAAATAAAAAATAGAATCCAATCCGAGACAGGAGTGAGAAAAACCAACCCCAGTGTAAATATAGAAACAAAGTATCCACAATTCATGCATAAGCCTGTAAAAATGAAAATAAATAAAATAAGCGTCGTTTAAGGAATATGATGAAGTAGTAAACAAATTGGGGATATGGAAACCCCCAAAAACCAAGACTCAGAATAACAAAAGGGACTGAGTAGAATAAGGAAGTGAAAGGGTTGACAAAGGACATAAACGGCAGGTTTCTATAATCCCTCAATGAATAAACCAACAAACAAACAACACTTGTTGTGTAATATGCATGCCAAAAACAGGCCAGATATGAAAACAATGAGGTCTTTCTTCAGTTCTATATTCAAGCTTGGGTGAGGCAATGATGAAATATAAAAGGGTATTTCTTGATTTCTGTATTCAAGCTTGTGACACACCCGAGTCAACAGAGTAGTATTGTTGCGAAAATCCATTATCAGGATCTTTAAAATCATGATTCTTCCCTTCCTCTTTCTCTAAACTAGAATGGCAAATTTCTTCGATCTTGCTTGCTACCACGTCCATTGAAGGTCTCTTGTCAGGATATTGTGCAGTGCATTCAAGGGCAAGCTGCAAGAGCTTCACCATTTCCTCCTCAACACTCTGGTACCTCAGAAGCTCCATGTCAAATACATCAGTGTTCCACTCACCTTCAACCACAGATTGAACCCATCTTGGGAGGTCCACCCCTTCGTCATTCAGTGAAGAATGAGCAGGAGCCTTCCCTGTAAGCAGCTCCAGAAGCATGATGCCAAAGCTATAGACATCAGCTTTTTGGGATACTTTTCGCGCATCAGTGATCTCTGGTGCTCTGTAACCAGAAACACGGTTTGGCGTAGAGGTTGGAAGAGCAAGGTAAGCAAGGCCAAAGTCAGAGACACGAGCTTCAAAAGATTTCGTCAGAAGGATATTCGATGCCTTGATGTTCCCATGAGAGGATGTTGAGCCATGAGAATGAATGTATGCAATCCCACGAGCAGCACCAAGAGCAATGGCAGACCTTGTTTCCCAATTCAGTGGAGTCCTCCCCACCCCACCATTTGCTGCAACAACAAAAACAAATATGTCAGATCATAAAGTGTTTGACTGCAAATGCAGCCTACATTTCGTTTTATCAAATGTAGAAGCCTCATACTAAATTCACAAGTGAAGTGTTTGACAAAGCAATCACTAAATACTTCAGAAGAATTATGAGTGTTATAGTTAGAAATCACAATCCTTAAAGCAAATATTTACTGACAACAAATTTTCTTTTGGAACATTAGGGATTATCTTAAGACCTAATTTAGAGGCATAAACTTCAGCTTTCTCAGATACTATTTTAGACATCAGACTTCACTCTTGATGCAACATTCTATCTCCCTTTGACATAGTGTAGGTAATGTATGCAATGACATCCACTGTCCAAACTAGAATATCAAATCAAATTTATTTCTAGACAAAACCCCTTAATTCACAAAGTAAACTAAAATCCGACGGGCAGAAGATGTGATGAAATAAAGCCACACTCTAGACAAGACATTTAGCAGAGCTAAAAAACAAGCCATGAAGTACATTACAAAACTGAATGATAAGCAGCAACAACAAGGAAAACATTGAGAAACATAAAAACAACAAGTAGCCACCCTAAGAGCTAGCATTGAGTAGACACACGAACAGCCACAATCATTCACCTGATTTAACAAAAGAAATGGCACCAAGATAGAAAATAGAGAGACACTATTGTCCAAAAATAACAACCAAGTATGAAAGATGGGGTACTACCATGCAAGAGAGCAGATAAGCTTCCCATAGGCATGTAATCATAGACAACAAGCTTCTCATCCCTGCTAAAGTAATAACCCCTTAGTGGGACCAAGTTGTGATGAACCATCTTCCCCACTTGCTCGATCTTCTCCCTGAATTCCCTCTCTGCGGCTGTGACATCCTTCAACCTCTTCACCGCCACACTCACCCCCATTTCCAAAGTCGCCTTGTAAGTCGTTCCAAACGTTCCTTTTCCCAACACTTCCGCAGAAGCCCTCAACAACTCATCCAAACTAAACACCCTATTCACATTCCCAAAAAACACCAGACTCTTATCTCCACCACCACTGCTTTGAACATCACTCTTCTCCACCGAACCTGCCACCGCCGAACCAGAATTCCCACTCTCAGCACTCTTTTCACGAGACACTTCACCTCCCACATCACGCTTCCCTGTTGACACACTTTCATCGTTTTTCTCACTCCTTTTTCTACACAAAAAGAACAAAAGCAGCAGAATCAACAGCAAACCAACCACGGAACCTATCACAATACCCGCAATGGCACCACCGGACAATTTACTCTTTCCCTCCTCGGTTCCGGGGCAGCTTTGCAAGGGCTTCCCGCAGAGTGAGTTCCCGAGAAAAGCGGTTTGGTCCAGACTCGAAAACCGGTTCGGAATGGGACCCGTAAGGGAATTAAACGAGACGTTGAACTGATCCANCTTCACCGCCACACTCACCCCCATTTCCAAAGTCGCCTTGTAAGTCGTTCCAAACGTTCCTTTTCCCAACACTTCCGCAGAAGCCCTCAACAACTCATCCAAACTAAACACCCTATTCACATTCCCAAAAAACACCAGACTCTTATCTCCACCACCACTGCTTTGAACATCACTCTTCTCCACCGAACCTGCCACCGCCGAACCAGAATTCCCACTCTCAGCACTCTTTTCACGAGACACTTCACCTCCCACATCACGCTTCCCTGTTGACACACTTTCATCGTTTTTCTCACTCCTTTTTCTACACAAAAAGAACAAAAGCAGCAGAATCAACAGCAAACCAACCACGGAACCTATCACAATACCCGCAATGGCACCACCGGACAATTTACTCTTTCCCTCCTCGGTTCCGGGGCAGCTTTGCAAGGGCTTCCCGCAGAGTGAGTTCCCGAGAAAAGCGGTTTGGTCCAGACTCGAAAACCGGTTCGGAATGGGACCCGTAAGGGAATTAAACGAGACGTTGAACTGATCAAGAGGCGGAACAGTAAGGTCAGGGATTGAACCAGTAAAATTGTTGCGTTCGAGATAGAGAGTGGACAAACGAGTGAGACCATTGAACTTGGGAGAAATCTCGCCGCTGAAATTGTTGTTACCTAAATTCAACCTCACGAGGTTCTGCAACGAGAATACCGCATCGGGAACTTCGCCGGAGAAGAAGTTTCCTTGGAGATAGAGGTTTCGCAGCGCTTTAAGGTTGACGAAATCCGCGGGGATTGGTCCGGTTAGAGCGTTGAAGCGGAGGGAGAGCGTCTGCAGTTCGGTGAGGTTTCCCAAACCGGAGGGGAGAGAACCGGAGAGACCCATCGCTGGTAGGCGCAGTAAGGTTACTCTGTCGTTGGTGCAGGTGACGCCGGTCCACCCGCAAGGGTTTGTTTGGCTGGTGTTCCATAGCAGCGTGCGTCCCCCCAACGCGCTTCGGAGTGACACTAGCCCGGCTCTGTCCGAAGCTAGATCCGAATCTGCAATGGCGAAGACGCACGTCAGGAGAGTAAAGAGAATCGCTTCTTTGACCTGCGCAGACTTCATTTTGGTAGTTCGAGTTGTTCGAGGAAAGGAGTTAGTTATCTAAGGAATTGGCGCCATGGGAACCTCGATGGATGCGAGTGTGGTTCTGCTCTGTTCCGTTCTGTTGTGCTCAGAATGTTTTTCAGAAAAAAGAAAAAGCAAAAAAACCAGTGTCGTGAGAAGCGTGAGTGGTGCGAGAGAAGGTGGTGGGTGTCACGTATTATAGCAAAGGGTGTTGCGTTTGCGAGAGAAGGAATAGAAATGTTTTCGAGAGGGACGAGAGAAGGGTTAGAGTACGTTCACGTGCAACGAACGACCGGTGTGTCGCGCGGGTGACCGGTGTTTGTTTTAAGATTAAAAAGAAGTGAGGGAAGGTTCCCAGTGGGACCCACTTGTTCGAGTGGTGGTCCAGTTATAACTTCTAATCACTCTCATTTGTAGCTGCCCTCCTAGCTGGATTCTCTGTTCCTTATTTTATGTTCTTTTTCTTTTTCCCTTTTTTTTTAATTTCGGTCTTGTATTTCAAAATATCGTTTTTTATTTTTTGCTGTTTGACTAGCTGTTCGTGAAGTTTAATGTAGTTTGTTTTTCTTTAAATATTACAGAGCGAAATATGATTTGTTTGAATATAATAAAAATAAATAATTCTCGCTAAACAAAAACAGTTAAGAAATATTAATTAGAACAATTAAATTGTTATTATATTTTTTGCATTTCTTTAAATTTAGAATGGTGGTCCCAAACGCAACGGTTAAGGGACAATCCCATTTACTAACCTTTCCTTTGGCTTCTTGGGATGGACCAGTTTCCTTTGCAGTAATTTTTTTATAAATATATTTTACCTAATGAAATAATCTTTTTTTTTAATTACAGATTTCTACGACGACGGAAATAATTTTCTTGTTTTCTTTTTGCCTTTTGTTTCATTGGAAAGGGTAGAGGCGTTTTCGCTGCCGGTCAAAATTCTTAAAAGCGTTTTTTAAATTATTGATGTACAAATTCTTAAAATAAGATATTCAAAATATCAACCAAATTTTATATCTTATTCAAAATTTATATCTCATACCTTAAATAGTAGGTTTTTTATATTTATCTTTAGAAAGTATTATTTATATATAAAATTGTATGTTGCTGTTTCTTTTCATTTTATGCCAATTAAAAACAGGCAACGTTATTATTAACAGTAATAAGTACACTACAACGATGTATCTTGCATTTTTTTTTATATTATTATAGTGTATATATTCATTTACTATTTCAAATCAAATTTAATATTTTTCTGATACTACATTAAAATTGATTTAATTTTTTTTGGTGTAAATTAATAACAATTACATATTTAAGTATCACACAATTGATGCTAAAAAAACTCCATTATTATTATTATTATTATTTATCGACGACTAAGTTTATGAAATAAAAATTAGAATGTTAAAAATATATTAAAATGTTCTAACGCTAATCATAATCATAAAAGTAATCATGTTATAACGTTAAAATGTTAAAACTGATAACAATGGATAGTTTGTCATGTTACAACGTTAAAATATTAAAAATCGTGAGAAAATATTTTTATAACCTAATTATAAAAAACACAATTTTATGAATATGCATAAAAAGTTGTTAATAATTCATGTTAAATGAAAATGAAGATATTTTTCACCTTTAAAATATCTCTACTAAAAAACGAGGTAAGGTAATTTTATTCTTAAAACTTCCATAAAATAATCTTTAAAAGATGTTACGTGTGTACTGTGGGTTTATCAATGACAATGAATTCATTAAAGTTAGATTTAGCTAATTTGATTATTTTATTATAAAAAAATAGACTATAAGTAGAGAAAAATAAGTTAATCGAGTTTTATTTTGTAAAAGTTATAATCTTTCTAAAAAACCATAATCTATTTTGTCTCTGTACCTTTTATAATTTATTTATTTATTTGTTTATTTTTTAGGAGATTAGTGACTAAACATGGTGTTAGGCCTCGTTAAATGCACCCAAACCCCACCTGTTTAATCCCATTAAATGCACTCCAAAACCCTGCTCAGATGCATTAAAAACGCACTCAACTCTGACGCACTAACGCCAAGTGTCAATAATGGAAGATTCGGAAGTCAGTTAGTGGAGTGCAGGTGTCAACAGGAGAGTGCACGACCGTTTGGACGTGGGGTAAACGAAAAATGAATTTTTCTGAAAACCCTGCCCATTCTCTTCCGCACGCACCTTCTCCTTCCAAACTCTGACTTTCCATTTCTCCTTCTTCTCTCTAGAAAATTCCCTTCTCTCTACTGTAACTCACTCTTCTATGATCCGATAACCGTTCAGGCACCGTAGGAGCATTCTCGGCGTTCCAAGCTTCCTCTTAAACCGAAAAAGTTTCAAGTTTGAGCTGGTAAGTTTCTTCCCTTAGTCGTTCGTTCTTGGGTTACATGCAAAACCAAGTTCTGGTTGCATGCAGGGATATAGTCTAAGTTATTATTGATTTTTTTATGTGGTTAGATTTAGTTGCAAGAGTTAAGTGATCTTTGAGGGTAGAAAGCTGTAGACGGGCGAACCCAAAATCTTACGTTTAGGACGTTCACTCACTGATCCAGGTAAGGGAAGCTTATTCAATTTAATTCGTATGTTTGTATTGTGCTGTATGGACGTTCTGTGAGTTGTATGAAGCATGAATTTGTGATATTTGATTTTTGGTATATGGTTATGATTATGAGCAGATGTATGAGAATTATGAAATGTGCTATGATATGAGTTTTTGAAAATATGAAATTTTATGCTGAGAAATGAGTTTAATGTAAATGAAACTTTGAATATACATTCCCTATGATAATGAACATTCATCATTTAACGGTCCTTGACCGTTCGGTGATTACTAGTAAACTTCTTTGACATTGAATTCTTTCATTTGGGAAGAATTCTAGTTGAGAACGAACGCCCTTTGATAATAGTTCTACGTTTGAGCGTTCGACCAAGCGTAGATGGCCTGAGTGTTATGTGAGGAATTGAGAAACTTGTAAACATATATCTGGACACTTAGTCATTCTTAAACCCTCTCTTCACCATCCCGTATTATATTTATTAATATTAATATTTCTATCACGAGTTCGAATCAGTGATGGGTTTCGACCCAAAGCGTTAGTTATGAGTGGCGCTCGGTCTTATACCGAACGCTCGTACTCGTCTTTAATTATTAAACTTGTGGAAATAGCGTTCGTCCAAATTTTGTAAATCCTTTTACCGTGTTCGGTCATTGACTGGAAGTCAGTGTCTGTAATTGAATTATTCTAAGTATGGGTTTTTAATCGTCTTGAGGGGCCTATATCCATTGGATCCGGCCTAGAGCCTCTGTACTTAAACTATTCTTTGATTATTGATCTGAACTTACGAGAGTCAGTTCATTCAACTGCCTCAAGTGGTAAATGACGTTCGTCATATACGATGTTATTGTAGTCAGTTTTATTCTGTTCTGGAACGGGGGATTTCTTGGTCTCGTTCCTCACGTTCGTCCTCGTTATGAAGAGGGTTGAACGTTCGTTATTTTATGCACTTGAAATGGATGACGAAAATGATATTAAATTGAAAGATTATAAATGATGAACAGTATATGAGATGAATAAACGATTGTGAATTTTGAACGAGCGTTCCAGGGAGGAACGACTCTTGGATGAAAGTTGGAATTTGTAAAGTATGAATGTGGACAAAGCTTAGCTGGCGATTCATCCTGATGTTCCGTGAGTGCTCGTCATCAAGTAGAGGGGAGTATGTCATGTGTGGGAACGGCAGGAGGTCCTAGTCCTTAGAGGTACTTTGGATGGAACGGACTAACCTCGGGTGGCAGCTGATGAGAAATTCCAGTTACTACACCACCCGGGTGCACGAACGTCGTAGCTACACAGAATTCATACAGTCCGGACAGTCAGTCTAGTATCAGGAATTGATTGAATTGTATATTGGAATATATTTGATATGTTTGATATGTTGAGAAATGCATGTTATTACTTGAATTAAATTAAGTAAGCTTACCCTGCGTTTTTCATTGTGTTGTCCTGTATCTGTACGTCCGTCTTGTCTTTGCAATGATCATCCGTGTGGATGTGAGCAAATGGTGATGTGTTACTGGAGGAGACGCTGGAAGAAGGAATTTTAGAGGAAGAGAACCTCGTTGATGTAGAAGTGAAGGCCGAACAGTAGTCCGTTCGGTTAATTATTTAGTTTAGTTATTTTAGCGAGTTGTCTTAGAACGACCACTTTCCCTTTTTTTTCTTGATTTAACCGTTCGGTATTTTTGCTTTGTAAACCGTTCGGTCAGGTTAGCTTATGGTACATCTCGTTATTTTGTAACTCACTTCTTGTAGAGCCGTTCGGCCACGAGAGTACTTTAAGTTTAGTGTAAGACTGAATTGATATGTTAATTAATGTAATTATTCTATTTGTATGATTTATTACTGTATTTATGAGATGTTACACATGACGTACCTTCTTGCATTATAAAAAGTATTAGATTGTGATTTAAGGTAGATGTATTTGATTTGCATCTAAAAAAATAAAATGTCTGCGGCCCAGCCCGCCATGACCCGTCCTAAGCTCATGCGAGTTATGGGTTATGTAGGTTAGTAGACTCAAAATCTTAGTCCCTTGCGCTTTTCACTACGACTCTGTCGGTCTGCCTAACCCCACATCCCCTCTCCAATGCGTATTGTCATCTCCAATTCTAGATAATTTATTTGAGTTTTAATACAATCTATTTTTTTAGTTAATTTATTCTATCTATATGCAATTTTAATTTTTTCTCACTTGAAGTCACAAGGGTTTTACAATAGCTTTAAGTCAAAAAATAAAACTAAATGATGGTATTTGTTTTTTTAATTGAAAAAAATAATTGAAAATTAAAGAAACGGTAACTTAAACAATAAAATAAATAATTTTAATTTATATATTTTTATTTAAAGGATAAAATTAAAAAACAAAATGTTCACTCTGAATAAAAAAATCTATATAGAATTTAATTTCTATTTAAATAATTAATGATCAAGTTATGGATTCCGAGCTGGTTAGTTATTACCATTATTAGTTCTACTTAATTTTTTTAAAATTATATTTAAAGTTAATGCCAGTTATTATTAGAGCCAAAACATTTAATTCAAAGATTAAATAAATTAAATTTATATTTTATGAAATTCTTTAAAAGTATAATTTGACTAATATATATATAATAGGAAGAAAAATAATTGATTGAAAAATGAGGGTTCACTTTAAAGGTGAAGTAAGGGTAGTAGTTGAGGCATGTCGTAGGAGTTGAAAGTATTCTTTATTGCGTTACGAAAGACCTAATAATAGCTATCCTTTTATCTCATCATTTTGTCTTTTCCGT